GGTTAGTGGCAGAGCGCTTGCCTAGCATGCGTGAGGCACTGGATTCGATCCTCAGCACCATATAAAAATAAACAAATAGAATAAAGGCATTCTATCCATCTACAACTACAAAAAAATTTTTTTAAAATGCAAAACCAAGCCTTCATTCCCACTAGAATGACAACACACACACACACACACACACACACACAAAAAAAAAAAAAAAAAAAAAAAACAGGAAGGACATGGTGGGACTTCCCTGTAGCTCCAGCTACTTGGGAGGCTACATAGTAGATTCCCAAGTTCCATCTGAGCAGCACAGAAAGACCCTGGCTGAAATAACTATCATATGACCCAAGCAATTCATTCCTAGGTATGCCCATAAAGACTTGGGACATAAATATTCACAGTAGTTTCATTTGTAATAGTCCCAAAGTAGAAACCCAAATGGATAAACACATTGTATGTGATATATCTACATAATGGAATAATGTTCATAAACAAAAAGACTGAACTTGCCAAGCAGAAAGTGGCACACACCAGTATTCCCATTGACTGAGAAAGCTGAGGTAAGAGAATTGAGTTCCAAGCCCATCTGGGCAACTTTGCAAGACCCTGTCTCAAATTTAAAAAATAAAAGGGCTGGAGAGGTAGCTCACTAGTAAGAGTACTCCTGGGTTTAATTTCAGATATGGCAACACAAACAAACAAGAGCTCAAAATCAAATTCTTTAACTGGCAATAGATGCTGGTAGTTGCTCTCCCTTTAACTCAACTCATTTTTAGAAAAATGTCTGCCATATACTCAAGACTGAATAATCAGTCGTTCTTTCAGGTAAAACTGAAGTTACAGGAAAAACACAAGTCATTTAACTTTTTTTTTTAATTATTTGTAGATGGACACAATACCTTTGTTCATTTATTTTTATTTGGTGTTGAAGATCAAATCCAGTGCCTCACAAGTGCATCTACTTCAATAATATACAAAGGGCAGCCTGGCACAGTGGCACATACTGGTAATCAGAATGCTAAGGCAAGAAGATCAAAAGTTCAAGGCCAGCTTCAACAATTTAGGGAGACCCTGTCTCAAATTTAAAAAATTAAAAAGGGGCTTGGGATGAAGCTCAGTGGTACAGTGGCTCTAGGTTCAATCCCC